TCCTTCCTCTTTCAAGACTCCTTCCTTCCTCTTTCAAGATTCCTTCCTTCCTTTCTTCCGTCCTTCCTTCCTCTTTCAAGACTCCCTTCCTTCCTTCCTTCCTTCCTCTTTCAAGACTCCCTTCCTTCCTTCTTTCCTTTCTCCCTCCTTCCTCCTTTCCTTCCCTGGTTTTTCTTCCTTGCTTTCCTCCCTCCCTCCCTCTTCCTTCCTTCAGTCTTTCTTTCATTTACGTACTAAATAAATATTTAATGGCTATTGTATACTTTGTAGTATGGAGATTAGCAATCACCCAAAAAAGAAACGTTCTCCAGATGTCAAGATGACAGGGTGAGGAAGTATTGTTTCATTTATTCATTAATTAATGGATGGTGACGTAGAGATGACAGATTGCAATCCAATCAAGGTCTCTTCTGGTGAGACACCACACCAAATGTTGGAGTTCAAAGTGAAACCAAATGGTGTGGGTGGTGGCTGGTGAAGGAAGTTGTCCAAAGAGTGCACTAGGACCTTTAAGGTAGATGGCCAGAACATTTGAGTAATTAAAGCCCCTCCATCCAGTATGGCTTCTAATGGGTTAATCTCTTTTCCCCTCCAGACCTGCTTATTAATGAGAAGTAGCCCTTCATCAGACCTGCAGTATGAGACATAAATTTATAAAGAGGTCTTTTAATGGTTTTTAGAACACTTGTCATCATTGCATTGTTTTATATATTCTTTTATGAAGGAATTAATCTGAAAACAAATACACTGTTTTAGTACATTGATATATAAATATATACATATACACATAGACAACTCTTTCAAGTTAAGACTCCTGTACTAAAACTCATCAAACCTTTGAACTGTGCTCCTTAAATAAGCCCACCTTTTAAAATCTCAATCCCCTGTAGCCCCTCCCACAACCACGCACCCATTCCAAATTCACCCACCCTCTGATCTCAACCCTGAGCCAAGAAGTGTCCAGTCAGTCACTAGAATGTGATCCTTGACCTTTTTTGTATTAGCAGTCCCTTTGAAAACCTAATTAAATCCTGAAGCGCACTCCCTAGAAAAATGCACCCGACATTTGCAGATGGTTCTAGATAGTTGATCCACTCTTAGGAATCTGAGCATTCCTAGGGGGGAACCCCTGCTTGGAGAAGAGATTGGTATATCCCAGTGACTTCCTAACTTCTATTAGTAAATGTTATAAATGTGATCTATGACTTAGTTTTGTTCAGCCTACGAATGCCCATGTATTTTTTTAAACAAAAAGAAGTGACTAATTTAAGCAGAGAGATATATTACACAGTTTCTTTCTCCTTCACTAAATTTTTTTTTGTCAAAGGATATTTACCCATCTATCACCTCCTCCCCCTCCTCCCCAACCAGAAACCAGTTTCAGACGGATTTCTCAAGGTGAAGTTCATCAGAGGACTCAGATTCACTGCCTCTGACGTCTTCCCATAAGCCCCTAAATGAATGGCTATCTTCTGCTTCCCACAAACAAGAGGAGATTTGCCATAGGAGAGCATTTTTCAGTTTATAGACATTTCCCTTCCACCCTTATGTATTTAAGGAAGAAAATTGCCACTTATTTGTACAAAGTAAATTGGCTTATGCTCCATAATAGGCTTCTCCACTCTTGCCTCTGCCAGGAAAAGGTCATCCTCAGACTTTTGCACTCCGCAGAACTCAGAGATTCTTGACAGCAAGTAGAGAAATCACACACTCCTAAACTGTAATTTCCTTCATGGATTAAGACCTTAGCGGTCACAGGTTTTTGGTATCAGCAAGTTTATTTCCAAGCATATTGCTGGCTATTGAGCAGGCTGTAAATTGTACCTCATGTGCCCTTAATGAAATACAGCCCGAGTGTCTGAAACATACACGTGCATAATCACACGTGTGCACGTGCACACACAAACACACATGCATATAGATATGCTCCCAGGCAACCACACATACATAATACATACTTATAAACTCGGACACACACACACATGCATGCACATAAACACAGACATGCATGCAAGTTCATGTACAACTTGCTGTCGCTCTTTTCAGCGCCGATAACTTTTCAGTGTACCGCTCAGCTCTGTCCCGCTGCAGAGGGCCCTCTTCCGAGGTGTTGTTATTAGCCATCACCTTGGCAGCATGTACAGGGGTGTGATCCCGGGTCCCTATGGAGCTCTTACCCTTGAGAGTATCTAGTGGATAGCTGAGACAAAATGAACATAAAACAAGCAGATGAGAAAAGAGGTACAAGCCCCACGTGCTGTCCCAGGGCTAGCACAGTTCACAGCCAGCAATTGCCCAAAGAGCGTATGTAGAAAGTTACCTCTGATCCTAGAGGGATGGAAGGCCTCCTTTGATGAGGAGGCTGTCTATTCCTGGGGACTCCGTAATTTACAGGAGAATTTCGTAGTAGCCAAATATTATCAATTGCACATATCATAAATTTAACTAACAGTGAGTTTATAATATATATTATTCCAGCCCATTGGGAGAAAGTACCTTCCCCACCTTAATCCTCTGTTAACACTCATGGGACTAGCTGCCCCTCCTAGAGAGAATCAGGGGCTTTCATACCTCTGTGCCTTTGCATAAACTATTCCCTCTGCGAGCAGTGCTGTTCCTTCAATTCCGCCCAGGTGGTCTCTGTTTCTCATTGGCAGGGCCCAGCTCCATTGGGTTCATCTCTCTGCAGCCTTGACACGTCCCCCTACACAGAATGGATGCGTCACACTTTTTTAGGCAGTCCCACTGCACGAGGAACATGCCACCAGGGGAACTTAGGCTACATTTAGTCAGTTTACCCCGGACTCAGAGGGCCAGGTGTGCTCTTCAGACCCCTCTCTGCTCCTCTCTGGAGGATAGCACCTGGCATCCTGTATGGGTTGGCACTTTATTCTCACATACTCAGTGCTTCGGAATTGATGAATGAAGGAATCAATTAGGTAATTCTGTGATACCCATTTAGGAAGCTCCCGCGGAAGACAGCTCCCGTATATATAGAAACTTTCTCTGCGCCTTGTGAATGATGAGCTCTAGGACTGATGCTCTCTCCCGAGGCTGATCTCCCTCTGTTTCGGCTCCCACCTGCCTGCACCGTGCCCACTCTGTGTGTAGGATATTTAACCTCTCCTTGATTAGCTTCTCCAGTTGAGGCAGGGCCAACAAAGAAAGCAAGAGAAACCACAAACAGATGATCAAGGCAGGAGGTAAAAGGTGAGTAGTAACTGTGACATTGCAACAATTTCTGAATGTCTACTGGCTTAACTATTCTTCTCCATCGTGGCCACAAACAACGGGCTGGTGGTATCGTTTGCCTGTGGAATAGCATCTCATCGGGCTGTAATCAACTGATAGGGATTTGAGGGGTTTGGGAGCCGGTGGAGTGGAATCTGGTTTTATTTTTGCCTCTCTTAGATTTTAGAATGATGTAACTTTTTATTTTAAACTAATGTTAACTAAGAAGGTACCCCATGACAGGCACTATGCAGGCCCGGGTGTCTCTTATCCCTGTCCTGTGTTGTAGGATATGTGCTTTGATTCCATCTTACAGGCAATGGAGATAAAGTGCTGGCCGAGGTCCTATAGCTTGGTGAGTGGCAGAGTGAGGATTTGAACCCAGGCCCCCTGACTCAGAGCCTTACGCTCTTTGCACTTCATCCCAGTGCTAACATGGCTCATATTGGAAGTGAATTGTTCTGTCCTTTGATTTCCACGTGTTAGAGATCTGGGGATAGATACCCCGCACAGAAAACCCCAATGAATCATGGAGGTCATTTGGGGCTGTGTACTCAGGGGCTCTGTCATCCACGTCCATGCTGGTGTCTGGGGCAGGATAGCCCAGCACCTGGCATGGTGTTTGACTTAGAGTGGAAATTCAAGAAACGTTTGATGAGAAATGGTGTATTGTCTGAAGTCCCCAAAGACCCTGAAATCATTCATTAAAGTTAACTATCCGCTAATACTTAGGGTAGAAAATAAAGCAAGTGCGGTTGTTAAAAAACATCTTCTATAAAAATTGAAACTGAAAAGGGGTGCAGTTTCTAGTTAATCCTCAGTTAGGCAAAATAAACTTTGTTAGCCATAAACCCGTATTTTTTTCAAGCATTCAAGTTAATCAGAGTTTTACTAAAAATCAGAAAGCCCAATAAGATTGAAGTTTTGCAAAGGTCAGAGTCTATGGGCATGCATGCCCCAGAGATATTAGGTGCTAAAGCAGTGTGCCCGATGTTCCCACTCCTAGATGGCCTTGTGCCCCACCAGCCCCCGAGAGCCAGCAGACATCCTATTAACTAGAGCTTCCTCAGCCATGGCTCAGAACCGAGCCACTATGTTCTGCCATCCCGTTATCCCCTGTCATAGCTGCATCCCCTGTATCATGATACCTGGCTTCCTGTTCGCTCCTTCATTGTCCGGCGGTTAGAGAGTTCTGTTCGGCCAGAAAGCCCGGGGTTCGCGTCTGGCCCTCAGAGTGGCCTGTTTGTGTGCTGGGGACAGAGTGCCGCATCTCAGTCACTAATGGAGCTGAAAAGGTGCCTGGGGCTCATTATTCTTGAGGTAATCCTGAAGGTCACAATCCCACAAATGCTGTCTGCAGGCAGAAAAGGCAGGAGAGGAGCATATTTAAGATATCTGAGAATCCTGGCACTTTTTTTTTTTTTTTTGCACATACAAAAGGTATAAGGTTTCTGAGATTCCACTGCAGTTGAATCTTAATCAAGAGAGAAATCCCTCCCTGGAGACCTCTGTACCTGCCATATGTACCATTTACAATAATACCTAGTGAGGCTTTACTTCTCTAGGTCCCCGAGCCCCTCCTGCCCGGGTTACCGCAGCGCAAGCCCCTGCTTCATTGTAAGAGCTCAGGCATGGGACACAGGGACAGGTCAAGTTTCCGGTAGACAGAGATATAGGCTCTCGGTCCCACTTGGGGCAGGTTCCAAATGGCCCAACCCAGTTTCCTGTTAGCTTAGGCCATTTCCCTGACCTCTCCTGGGAGATCCTTAATGATGCCAAGCCCGTGGGCACAGCAGATGTGCCCTGCCTGCCAGCCCCTTGAGATCTGGTGACAGATGACCTGGGGCCATGTAAAGAATGGACTTTAAGAAACAAAACAGGGGCGCCTGGGTGGCTCAGT